TAAAATATACAATTTGATCACATAATTACTTAATTACCTCTGATAGTTAAATGTTTTTTTTCTGCTACGTTTTTTTTCTCTTGTACATGACTCTGATCCTCTTGTTGTATTTGTATTTGTAAATTTCTATATGTTTAATAATTTTTTTTTAAATAAAAATAAATAAATTAAAAAAATATTCATCTTGTGCGTCTCGGCCGTCTGGGGTTCCGGGTCTTGAATGTGGTGGTGTCGCATAACACCAGACTGTTTTCACGCCCAGCAGGCCGAGACACACGGAGGGAGAGGACTTCCGGAGTATAACCGGTGCAGCAGCCTTGTGGAGTCGATCATGTACGTAAAAGGGTTGGGGGGGACGATTAAGGAGTGCGCTGTGCATGGTTTTGCAAACTACGATTGCACCAGTGAGGTCTAAAATCCCAATGAATGGCACAGGCCGGGAGACGTGACCGCTCAGCGGAATCGACTGCGGAATGAATACTTTTTGCCCCGGACGGCGGCAGTCACGCGTGGGCGCCTGTAAACACTTTTCGCGCAAGGGGACGTTCACGCACTCTTTTCGTACGACGTCGCCGAGGCCCATATCTTGACGGCAGAGCTGCGTTGTGCAAAAGCTCCGGTTGCGCCTTTTCCGTACCGACAGCACCAGCGTCCGGCGCGCCTCCCGCAGAGCCCACACATGCGCAGCTGCCGGCACCTTGGCTTGTCTGACGCTGTTTAGTCACTGATGTATCCCGGAGTAACACACACGTGTTTGTGAGGCCGGGCGTATTAGGCAACGGTGTTTCTTCAGAGTGCATTGAGCACCCGCTGGGCTCGGCCGGGAAGTAGTTAAGATTTCTGGTAAACTCGCTCAGTTGAGACACAGGGCGCGACTTGACCGCCGATTTAGCGGGGGAGAGAGAGAGAAATTCCCGTGTGGTTTAGTTTGGTAAACCGGTTATTTTATGCGGCTCATTGGACCTCAGAAATCAGCGACCAATGCTGCAGAAGGAGAAAGTCCCCAAGTGCAGGGTTGTGTGTGTGTGTGTGAATATAACGACCTGAAGGTTCAAAGGCACTTTTTTTTTTTAATCAGGGGGGGATTAACGCCTGTCTGTCCATATCTGAGTTTAGGACCCTCAAGGCAAGGCTGCTAGTGTGTAAAACCCCTGCTTCTTCATGCATGTAGATTCGCTTCTTCATACTTTTGCTCCTGGGTTGCATGCAGTCTCTCAGCCACGTGTAGCTGTAGCTGGTACTTTGATCAGCATTCTTAATGCTAAATATACAACCATAACATTCATAAGAATATAAGATCACAGAATAGAGGTATTGTGGTCCATATCTAGCACGTTTGCTAGTAGGTTATTGATGTGGAAAATCTCTTCTTCTGGCAGAACAAATGACTTTAAAGACCTGTCTGTACAGCTTGTTCCACACTTCCACAACTCTTCGTGTAAAGACGTGTCTCCTGTTCTTGGTTTTAAATGCACTTCCTTGCAGTTTCCTGCTTGTGTCCTCTGGTCTGTTGCCCTTTTGTTCCTGTTGGAATCCACTAGGCTGTCTGTTTCAGCGCCCCTGAGGACTATAAATACTTGAATATTCATTACACACAGCTCTATATAACCACTTCTAAAGCACTGCCATTTACTGACAATGTAAGCAATGAATATGCAATGCAAATTAGGATAAAGACAGGATTGATCAGTTTGAACTAGATTACTGCAAAATAAGAATTAATTCCTGCTGCATTTAAGTTGAAAAAGTTTTGGTTAAAAGCATACGTGGCTACATTGTATGTACACAAAGCAATGATGTGGAAAAGCAGGACATTTTTAAAC